AAGCCGACTATATAGCGCAGCTCTAGTTAATAGAGCGAGCACCGATACAAACCGTAGGTAGATTACACCTCTCGCATACTATAAACAAGTATACCTCGCTATAGGTAGTACATTGCCCCTTTAAATCTAATAGGTCTTCGTTAATACGCCGTAGGGCAAGTACTCGCAAACTATAGTATCCGACGATATAGAAGAAGCGATCCGCCGCTATAACGAGACTACGCGGCTCCTAGGTATCTATATTTATACCGACGGATTACTTAAGGAAGACAAGAAGGGCGCCTACAAATTAGGCTGCTTAGCGGTATTACTCGACGGCCGGGTCTTTAAATCTAGACCGCTAGGTATAGCGGCATTCTTATTATCCTTTTACGCTAAAGTATATAGACTCCTCCTAGCCCTTTAATTAATAATCTACTACGGCCTAGCAGAACTAGTCTATATCTATACTAACAACCGAGGGCTTATATAAAGGATTAGTAATACTAGCGCTAATACTACCTAGGACGCTATTAAGCAATTTTACGAACTTCGCCTATATATACCGTGCCCTATAGCAATTTAATAGATACTAGGCTACTCCGGTATACTAGGCAATAAATTAGCAGATAAACTAGCTACCGAAGCGGCGGACAGAGCACGACTATTCTACTTATCCCTAATCTATAACTAGAAGTAGGCAAGGGGCTAAATCGATGCCTTTCTAAAGAACGACTAGTAGCTACGATAGGCGGTCGGGGACACTAGCCGAAGCGTCTACCGTATATAGCTATATATTACAAAGGACGTCCTTTAAAGGTACAAGCAGGCTAGCCGACCGATTAGAAGCATTATTACTTAAATACGTACCGGAAAGATAGCGCTTAACTAATACCTCTACGGTATTAGAGTAGTCGGTAGCCTCTTCTACGGCCTATATATTAATAAAGAAGGATACGACTTTTAACGATAGACGCCTGCCTATATTCTACTTAAATGCCTAAGACTAACTAAAGATAGAGACAATATATAGGCAGCCCTCGGTAAACGAATTACTAATATTAACCTTCTTCTTAGCGACCTAGCGATAGTATAGTAGGCAGCCCTACTACTACTAAAGGCGAAAGTCTTGTAGTAGTTTAGGGCAATCGATCCGGAGCTCGTAGAATCTAAGTATAGCGACTTAATTTAAAAGCAAGAAGCGGCATTAAATTCTAAGAAGGAAGCTAAAGCTGCGAAGAAAGTAGCGAAACAGGCCCGCTAGGCTCGGGTAAAACAGCGACACGCGGAGGCTGCTATATAAGTAATTATATAGTATTACCGAGTTACAGTTAAGCAGTATATAGTATTTATATATAAAGAGCGTACTACTGCTCTAATTTAATACCGCGAAAGCGGCTATACGATAGACATCCGCCTAGACCGTTAAGCTACCGCTAATCCTAGCTAAAATATACTATAAAAAAGGGACAAAGGGTTATAACTAAGCGATTAAGTACGACGAAGCTGCTAGAGGGACTACCTACCGTTATAGGCCGTAGAAGGGCTTACAGACGGTAGGAGAAGGACATAAATCCTAGGCGGACTAATTTATTAAGTCGATCCTCTAATAGCGTCGCACTCGCCTTCTAATACGTACTATACGCTAACGAACCTAGCAAGTACCTAAGGGCAACTACGTATTTACCGCAACGATAGTTAAATGCCGCGCAAACCCCTATTAGCGTAAATTAATACTACGCGAGCGTTTTATTTACTCGACCGAGCGCTTAGTAGACTAGTAGGTATACTAATAAAACTACTATCGAGCGGCTATTAACTAGAATAGCCTAGATATTAATACTAACCTCTTTAAAGCCTATTACTACCGGGCGTACGGCTTATCGAAACCGAGCCGCCCTATAATACTACTACTACCCTTAGACTCTATATTTAAATTACTAATTAGGGTAGGTAGTGTACCTATCGCTTTAGATAGCAGTAGAATAGACATTTATCTATAGTACGCCGGCAACTAGGTAGCTCAATCCTACTACTAGCAAGCTAATATATATATACTATATCCCTAACCGAGCGAGTAACCCTCTAGTTATATAGAGAGGCGTTAGCCTATTTATTAAGATTCGTTAAGAGGTATATATTAATCTAAGGGACATTAAAAGGCGCACTAATCAAATGTTAACGGGAATATCTATAAAATCGTAACGATAGTAAGGCGAAGGATTAGTACGGAGCGGGTCAAATTATAGCCAATGCGGGGGCATTAGGCTACGTATCTATAAGCCGCGTAGATCAAAGGTCTTCAAATAGGCTTCAAATAACATACCAACCAACCAACCCAACCAACTGTACATATAGCCTAGTGATGCGATGTCGAGGTGAGATGCCTGCCATGCTTGCCCCGGGCCCGGCCCCGGGCTGGTGATGTCTCAGCCTCCACACACACCTCACTTGCTTCTGGTTCTCGTTTCTCCTGAATCGTGCCTCCAGGTACAATGCTGTCTGTACGGTACAGAATCGGGCTCTGCTGCAGCGGGAGCGGGCGGTCTCTGGCACTCGGCACTCTGTGGCATCGGCATCGCGAGGTCCGTCTTGGGCGAAGCTCTGCACGAACCTGCAGTCTGCATCGGCGCCTACTGCATTTGGACGGAGGCCACGGCATTCAGTTCACCATGCATACCACACGCTAGAATAGAGCGAGTGTCCCATGGTCGCCCAGAGCATTCGATCGCACGCGACGTCTTGCCGTGCCTCCAACGCGCAGTCGATATGTGTTGTCGAATTTCCACACCGGCAGTAGTCTACCACGCACTTGTCGCAAATTCGAGCAGCCGCTGGTGTCCGCCGCGGATCTGATATTGAGAGCGAATCGAAGCCCATCCATGTCGGCGCAGACACTCCCAAATCTGGCAAAGCGCTGGTCTCAGGCCTCCATCGTCCAACGTTGCAGCAACGAACCTCCGTGGACAACGTCTCGCTACCAGAACTTGTTCGCATGCGACACCCTTTTGCTGTGATGGTCCTGCTCTAGCTGCCTCTTGGGGACCAGCACAAGGTGGTCAGCACGACGACTCAAGTGCATTCACTAACAAAACGAGATCCAGCATATCGCCAGCCCTCACAGCTCTAGGTTACCATTGCATACTCAGGAATGCAGTCACCCGCAAGCTGCCGTCTAGTCTTGGTCTCTACGGACAAATGAAGGAGCTTCAACGTCGCGCTTCAGATACTTCTCGCTTGTCTCACGTCCTCTCAATCCAACGGCACTTCATTCACCCACCCGACGACATCGACATTGGTCTACCGGTACTAGAGGCCTTAAGGCGGACAGCCAGTAGCTTCCGTCGTGCTGCTGCGTGTCGCTGTCTTCTACGCTGTCGCACGTTCATGTTCATGGCCGACGCTATCTTTGGACGGATTGCGCTGACCTTGCAGTTCCTGCTAATAGCGTCTTACAGCATTCGTTCTGAAACATATGCAGACAGCCATTAGAACATCCAAACGTCGTGCAGGATAGAGGCAAGACCATACTCCAAGCCATGCATTCCTTCAACCTGCTGCACATTCTCCAAATGAATAGTATGGTCGAATGCTACTCATACTGGTAAGGCCTGTTCTTCGATACAACTCGAGAGTACACACACTCGGCTCTGTACGACTCCGGAAGCGAGCCAGCCACGGCGCCATTCTGCAGCGGCGCATGACGCATGCTGCGAGCGCGCACTCGCTCCCGTCCTTGTGTGACCAGCAACAGCGTATCATTACGGGCTCACACAACGGCCTTGACTCACCACGACCATGACATCTCCCTTCATCGCTCACCGACTTTCAACACTGCGTAAATAAACGTCAACACTCACCCCTTTCCAGGATCTTTGATGTACTTGTTACAAAGGGTGAAACATATGTCAACACCCACTAGCTTGCCAGCGACTTCAGGACCTACGGTCAGCCTGCGAAGGTGCATGTTCTACGTAGCTGCAGCCACTTCATGTTCGCAGCTCAAGGATCTGCCAGGAGCGGCGCGACTGTCAGGGGAGGCTGGAGTGTACGCTGCTTAGGTGCAGTCATTATTCCATCAGAAACAAATCCTACACCGGTCTACCTTCTGGTACCAACTCAGACAGCCATCTTCCTCGAGCATTGCTGCAAACCCATCACGACACGCTCGCAGGCACGCCTCGTTGCATCAATCTCGCAGCCACATCGGGAGTGACCTGCAAGCATCCACTAACGTACCATTACTGTCGACCAGCTACATACAGTACCGTAGCATTCCCCTCGATGATACATATATCGATATTCCTGCCGCCACCTCATGCAAGTTACTGCTACGGAGAAATACACACTTTGGATAAAGACGTCATCAATCAGACTTTGTGCACAAACGATGCGAGAGGAAGAATGAAGTACTGTACGCGCGGAAGGTCGAGTCCACGTTGGATCTGCAATGCAGGCAGCTTTCCGGACCGGAGCATTTTCCCGCTGCGCAAGAAGCGAGACAAGGTACAGTATCCATACATACAGTACTCTCCTGCATGTACCCAACCCACCGCTACGGCCCAGAATACTTTTTACAATATACAACACATATGTCTCTGCCACACATGATTCATGCCCATTCTGCAGACAACCCTTAGCTTACCGAGATGTGAAGCCCCCCCTTTATCCATAGCAGAGAATCCGAGGCAGAGCATGTGACGACCACGTCGACCAGCATGATTCTGCAGCGCACCAGAATTTCTTTCAACCAACAGTCTTGCCTCGAAGTCGCTCCACCCAGCCACATTATTCGTGTTGAAAGCGGCCTTCCGTTAGTGAGCCGAGATCTGCAGACCAGTAGTAGAAGCGGATCGGATCGTGAAGGCGTATGTATGTGGAGGGGAGGGGAGGGGAGGGGAGAAATAGCAGCTAGCTGTAGCTAAGTGTTTCTCGATAGAGTAGTACAGTACAGTAAAAGTCCTTGTGGTGCTTCGGTGATTGAACGCCAGTCCTTCCTTGATGAACGCGTGTAATAGTCGTGATGCCGCTAATCCTCACAATCCGTCTCTTCCTCCTCACTTCCTCCTCCCCTGCTGCATCGCCAAAATCTGCACCATCCGAACAAAAATATTGATGAAATCCAACTCCAACGCAATCGACTCATTCACCGCATCCCTCCTAAACATTCCCCTCTCAGCCATACGCGCATGCGCCAGAATTTTCTGCGTATCGTACAGCGTAAAGCCCCCAAACACAGCCAATCCTCCATACAACCAGAGATTCTCCGTCCACATCAACGCCCTCGTCGCAGTGGCCGGCAGCACCAGCGGCGCGAGCCCCGAAAGTGCCACGATCGCCACACCCGCCAACAGCGGTCCGCCGAGATACAAATACTTCTCTTGCTTCGCCGTAGCACCCACAAACGCAATGCTCCCCATCATGCCCACAGTGTAAAGGCCAGCTCTCGCCAGGATCGCAGGGGAGAAGAACAACATGGGAGAAAGCAGCGCTGCTTGCGTCAAATTAAACCCCGCCCACAATCCATATTTCAACACATAGTTTTCCGGCGGTGTGGCGTGGCAGCCCATCATCGTTCCAATTGAGCCCACGAGTCCGATTCCTAACACCAACCAAGGGTTTGCCGTCATCAAACGATATGACCAGCCGTTCATGTGCAGCGCTCGTGCGGCGATTCCGATGATTCCGATTCCGAGCCCTGTGTGCAGGAAGGTTTCGTTGAGGTAGGAGCGTTCGTAAGGAGGCATGCCGCCGTCTTCGCGCGTTTCGCGGTTGAAGATGAGGTTTATGGCGAGGAGGGTGCCGCCGAAGATGGCGCCGCCGTCTGGGAGGGGGGAATGTCAGTTAGGAGCGAGGGAGATGGAGGTTGGGGGATGTTGGTTTGGGACGTACAGATCAGTCGCTGCGTGAGATTTCCTTGTGCCAGAGGGTTCTGGGGCGCGGAGGTTTGGTAGGCTCTCGCATGTTGTCGGAAGGTTTGCTTGAAGATGGTCTGTTGCTGGGTCGAGAAGGCGGTGGCGGTGCGTTGCTTGAAGATGCTGTGCTGGATGGGTTGGCGGGTCGAGGTTTGGAAGCTTCGGAAGGCCGTTCGTGAGGTGTGTGGGAGTTCGCGGGCGAGGATTGATGCGACCGCGAAGGGCCGTCGCATTAAGGTCGCCATTTCTGGTATTGGTGATGATCGAGTTGATGGAGAGAAGAGAAGATGAAGGCGAACTTCGAGCTTCGACGTCACCATAGACCGATCGGCTTTCTGGCACTTTCGCTCCGCTGCCCGCCCGCCACCCAATCAGCGGCTCGAGATTCTTGATGCCAAGACTTTGATGGAATGCAAGTGAAGTTCGACTGTCTCTCACCTCACCTTCTCTGCTCCTGCTGCGTTAGCCATTGACGGTAGACACCCACATGACACTCCACCTCTCCGACCCTCGAGATCCTGCATGCATGGCAGATAGGGCATCTTCGGGCGGTGAGTAAATCGGCGGTCCATTCCTCGCCCGTTCATACCTCGCGATCTGGACAATCCCCAAGCTTCCATTTCAGCTCGGCTAGAAGCCATGTCTGGGCTTGGGACGACGCGTTTGGCTGCAGCTGAATACAAAGGCAAACGCTCGCTGGAGCTCTACGGCTTGCCTGGCATGCAGAACTACTTGGATCGTCACCTCTGATGGTGATGGACATATCAAGTGGACGTAGTGTGACGGCCTCATCTATTCGAAAGCTTTCAGCGTTAACGAAGTCTTACCCAAGCAAGAAACGACTGTGCCACAGTACACAAATCCTCGCGCGGACAATACTCATGCCACCCAAGGTGTGCAACAGATAACGTGTGCAAGGAGAGTTTCGTGTTTTCAGCTTTTCGTTAGAGGCTTCTTTGATTTGTCCGTGAAGGAAAAAGGAAAATCGTATTCGCCGAGAGCTGGCACTAACGAGAAGCTGGAATCACGAAATCCTCCTTGCACACATTAGCCGGACCGGCAGGGCTCTTCCAGATCCCAGCCAATCGAGAGGACATCGTTGATGCAGAAAATCGTAGCTCGTGGCATAAACCCAAGCGGCATAGCATATGACAGTAGCAGGATCGATCTCAACCAAAACAAGCTCCTGCTCTGGATCGGGTACGGCGAGCTTCGGTATCCTTGGCTTCGGATAATAAATTCGGCGGCAATGACTGCCACGAGGCTGTCGAAAACCAACGTCGGACGTTGAACGTGAAAGGAAGAGCCTCGCTTGTCTTTCCGGAAAGCGACCAAAGTGGCCTCACTGTAGCTTAACGCAGCCTCGTAAAGCAACGCTTCAGTCTTGCTTACTAAGCAATTGAGAAGTATGAAATCGCTCTTTGCTGGAATTGAATACAAGAGTCTGGACCCATTAGAGTGACAGTGGATGTTTTGATATCCCTGCACTTTCATGGGTTTGAACGAAGAGCGGAGCTTGGAATCGACGATCCGCGTTTAGTAACTATGCGCAACGTATCTAACCATCCTTTCGTTCTCCCTTCCTTTTGTTGGCGCTATCCTCTCGGCGAATCCAGCTTTCCCGCACGCTGAAGGGACGAATTGGAAAAGGCGCTAACGAACGGATGTCCACACGAAACGGTAGCTGCACACGTTCCACACTCCGTACAGAGATCTTAGTCTTCAAACTAGACAATCTAGCCTCTCAAGAGCACTATAGCAGGACTTGTCCCTCGACCTCCTGAAACATAACGGACAGCGAAGCGCTCTCCTCTAAACCAAAATTCCAACGGATCGAAATACAAATACCTATCCCATTCCCCCTCTTCTTCCCAAATCACAATCTACCCACCACCTCTCCACCTCTCCACACCGGATATCACACCATGCACCTCACCACCCTAACCCTCGCCCTCGTCCTCTCCACCGCCACCACAATCTACAGCCTCCCCGTCCCCGTTCCTGATCCCGCTACTCTTGCAGTTATCTCAGAGGGCGCTATGAAAAGAGGTGGCATCCCTTGCTCTAATAAGGGATCGAGTATTTCGAATTGTCACCCTCAGGCTAAATCGGGGAATGATTATACTCGGGGGGACAATCGGGGGAATTAGGGACTTGTAAAAAGGGGTGGGGGAGAACAGGTAAGGAAGGATGGGGGCTTATAAGAGGGTGGGATGTATGATGGGTAGTTGTGGCTAATGGAATTTTTAGGGGTAGGGGGGTTTTGGAGAGGGGGTGGAGGGGAGGGGAGCTTGTTCTTGTTGGGCGGTGGAGAGATGGAGGGTTTTAGGGGTATGGGAAGGCGAGATAGGAGGAGATGGGGAGCTGTGGTCGTGAGAGGGTTTGGCATGGGTGCCGCATAGAGAGGTAGATGACCGGCAATATCCTATTCAAAGCAGATGTTGCTCAGAACAGCACGAGATAAGAGCTGGCTACTCTTCCATTACAGCACAGGTGAGGTAAGCGTTTGGAAAAAGCTGATCTTGCTCACAGCCAAGCTAGGTCTATTCAACACGCCCATAGTCATGGAACTTAGTCATGGCGTTGGACAAGGGATCAGATACGAATGAGCTGCCACGAGCACAGTAACACACTTGCATTCACCACTCATTACTAGCATTGTAAATCATAGCAAGCCTCGACGCCTTCCCTACTAACATACATCCGCCACTTAATAAATCTACCTACGACTGCATGACCTCTCACCCTGAATTACCCGAAAATCTATCCTAGGACTTATAGGTGCTTGTCTAGCCGACAGATTTGGCATGACTGCGGTACTTCAATCGTTATGCGTAAGGTAGAACTGTGAAGATGAAATTCGAAGCACTAGGGAAAGGGAGAAAGTCTGTAAGGAGGATTCCGGGATGTGCAGATTCAAGGTATGTTCACGAGGGGGAAGAACGAGGGATTGGGGGAGGCTCGCGTGGGAAGAGTTGTGGAGGCTTCTTTTGTGGAATTGGAGGTTATGTATGAGGCTTGAGTTGAGATGTGTTCGAAGAGAGTGGGTTTGTGTTGGAGAGAGTACCTACCTTATACGGTCGATAGGATGGGGGATCCTGATGTTGGGTATGATGGTTGAGGTGATGTGGGGTTTTGGTTTTTCATTTTGTTCCTAATGCGAGTATGCTGCTGCTTCAACTTCTATATATCTTTATATCTACGGAAAAGGCCCATCGAAACTATACCTGAGACCGGATCTGGGAAGCGTGGTTAGTAGGTACGGAAATGAGCGAAGATCTTTGATCCAATTAATGATTTGTTTCGAAATGACAGTTTTAGTTGTGGATTCTAAGCTGTGGTCTGCTGGTCATACGTTTCGATAGACGAGGACGGGAGGGGGGCGTCGAATTTGGGCAGTGAGCGTTGGATTTCGTCCAGTGCATGTAGAGTTCTGGTTGGGATGTTGATGAGGATGTGGAGGGATGCCATGAGACCGCTACGTTGGATAAATGCAGCTATGAGTTTGTCTGAGGCTATCATGCGGCGCCACGCAGGTAGAAGGTAGTTTAGTGGAGCTCTACCCAAACGAGAGACATGTATGGTATTGGCAGTGGCTGCTAAGTATGTCCTGTTTTGGCATGCAACTACGCTAGGCTTTCATGAGCCTTTGCTGTCTGGCATGGAACAGACTTGAACCTCTATAATTTTGGCGGTCTTCCTCTTCTGTCTGTGAGTCTCGAGAGGCTCAGCGGGTGTCAACTATGTGGCTACGCATGATCTTGGCAAGTTTGGTAGCCAAGGTAGGGTAACGGTCCGCCGTTCAAGATACACACGAGAATCAACCAGCTTGTCCATGCTTTGTCGAATCAGCTACAGATCTGGCCATATGCCGGAGTCTCCAGGAGACTCTTCCACCCCGCTCAAAGTCGAATCAAGTACGAAAGTGTGTTCGTCGTTCGGTATTACAGGCCCGATTGCTGCTGCCTGCTTGCCCTTCCATCTCGTGGTCTTGCAGTTGTCTTGCTCATTCAGATCGAGCAGCTCTGGTGCCGTTCTCTGGACCATACCGCGCAGGTAGGTATCGGTACATCCCGATGCACAAATTCTCTGCCAAAGTGTATACAGAAGATCTTGCTGGCTCTGTGACTTTGTGGTCATATCTTGTAGGCTCTGTGTGGCAGCATCAAGGTCCTGTTGAGCTCTCTGTATGTTTTCGGTGGTCGTCTTCAAGTTCTGCTCGAGCTCCGCGATCCTCGCATCTTTTTCTGCCATGACGACCAGATCGTACGCTACTGGGATATTTTCTAGAGGTATAGCATCCCAGTCTGGCATGTCGTTGAAGTCGATACGGCCCTGTTTCGAAGCTTGTTCCGCGCCAGGGTTGTACAGGACGTTGTAAGCTGCCCACCATTGCTCGTCTCTGTCCTTAAGGTGGACGCAAGGCTCGGAGAGCCACATCCACTTGCAGGATCCACGAACTTGTCGCCGACAAGACCGCGTTCGACAGGGCTTCGAGCATGGGTCTTTGCCATAATCCACGTGCTCCTGATATTGCTCGTCGTCATCCAGTACAGTAAAGCATTTCTGACATATATATTTGTTGTGATGGGATTGAACATGGCGGCTAATGGGCACGGGTCAGCAAGCAGTCTTGTAAGGGAGAGTAAGTACCTACTGCATAGCGGCAAGACTTTCATAACGAAGACCGTCTATTCCTTCGTGATAACAGCAGATGCAGCGTATGCCTTCGTCATCGCCGCTCTTCTTCCTTTTCCTGCTCTTGACCAGTTGCGTTGTCCCGCCGTTTGCGGCCGAATCATGGTGCGAAAGACTTAGAAGGTTCGATGAACAAGGCGTAGAGCCGGTAGCTTCCATTGCGTCTGCAGAATCAGAGGACTTATGTGATTCCTGAGCATCTTGTGGTGACTGGTCGTGGGTGTGCGAATTTGCATGTGATGTTATGTCAATTCTGACTGGCAACGCTTCCTTCTCTTCCTCAGACTCTTCATGTGCATCACCTTCGGAAGTTTCGTCCTCCATGGAATGTTCATCGGATGACTGCGTCCAGGAGATTGATCTGTCCTGCTCACGGCAACGGGTACGAAGAAGCTCTGAGACCCGATTCTGCACATTCCGAGAAAGCGTCAGATACCCTTTGCGACAAGCAAAGTTTCCGGGGCCGTTGACGTGTTGCTTGATGCTGTTCACACCAAGACTTTGCCCACATACAAGGCACTTCGGCTCGTCTTGCTGAGCTCCGAACGAGGATCCTGTTGTATTCTTCTCAAAGATTTCTTGCTTTGTGTCAACACTCGTGTCAGTTTCTATAAACATTGATTCTGGATGTGTCACCATGGCAGTATCTGCTAGCAGGCTCGGCCCCTGGCTTGAGTTTTCTTCCTTTGCTGTCCATGCTAGATCAAACCTGGGGCGTGGTTCAAGTAGAAGCTGCTCCAGTCTCATTACATGATGAGACATATTACTCCAGAACGACCAGTCTGTCGATGTCGACATATCGCGTTGTAAAGAGCCCCTGACTTGAATTATTTGTTGCAGGTTTTCTAGAATGACGGAGATGGCATGCTGTGAGGTCAGGCCAGAGTTGGTGGTCTTGTCAGGTCCATATGGATTCGTTGAATTCATGTTGCCGCTCCAGACAGAATCATAGTTGGAAGGTGTAGGTGGTGATATTGAGTTGATGGTCTCCCTAGATGCTAGACCAATATCAGATTCTCGTATGAAGTCAGTGAGATAATCATCTGAAAAGGTGATGTCATGTTCTAGGTGGATTGGCTGCTGCTGTGCTGGGTCTTCTGGAGCAAAGACATAGGAACGATCTTCATTCGAGCCAGCTCTCCTCTGATCAGGGAAGGCTAGATGGAACAAAGCATTCCATCTTTCGAGTGGCGTGACCAGACACTCGCAGGTAGTCGGAGCTTCAAGTCCCCGTGGATGATGGCGGCGGCAGACAGAGCGTTTGCAAGTCTTGAGGCACGGCCAACGGTTACGATGATCATCCAAGTCGGCTCTACTATCAAATCGAGTAATACATTTCCCGCAAGCATAAAAGTCATGGCTCTGCATGTGACGTCTGGAGCTGTAGTCAGTATCGCATGTCTTCATCTCTGAATGTTAGCGTTGAGTACTGACAAGAGATGCGAGATATATTTATATCGCCCTGTGTCGCCTGCATATCGCGAGGGGTCACCGACGTGAAACAGGCATAGTAGTTGCTCGCCGCTTCGCTCTAACTTTAGACCAGGATGTCGCACAGTAGGCTCAGGGTACTGGTCTCCATCTCGTTCTTCTCCAGCTGGCAGGTCAGGATGGAGACCTCCATCAATAGTCGAGGAAGCACTCCCGCCGTACCCACTGTCCCAGGTCGTGCTTGCAGAAGATCGAGCTTTGCTCATTGCTGTTGTGATTGTCGTGTACTGACCGTAGAGATCCAGGAGGATCTCTTTTTTCGAATCCTCAGCAGTCTTGTGGCGAAGACGCTCTTGCAGGACAATCTCGGCTTGACGAATTAGAGAGTCAGGAATCGGTGACGAGAGCTCAGAGCTGGATGGGGACTTCGGGCTTGAGCTCTGACCAAGTTCGTGATATCCAAGTCGTTCGTGTATTTCGACACTGTCCGGCTGTACGACGTGTTGTTTCCATTCGCACTTCGACAGAAGTGGAGCTCTTCCGCAATGAGGTGCCTCTCTCAACAAAGCTCTTTCTGGATCGATTCGATCGAGACACTGCGCCATGACTCCCTACTACCAAGCTCACGTGGCGTATGGAACGTGCTAGCGTCACGAATGGTGGTCTCGGGTCAAAGGAAGTCGAACTGCGTGCATTGAATGTTGGGGAAGAGCATATCGCAGCATTTGAAGCATCCGTGTTCATACCACAAAGAAGTAGCCTGCTAACACGCCGTTGGCGGGACGGGAAAGCCACCAGTCTTTACAGCTGAAGCAGCCTGCAGCATGCAACCTGCAGCCAAGCCCGAACAGCATGTTCGCTCAGTTGTGCCGATTGGGCGCCTCTGCCGTCCTGCTTCCGCTCATACATGGGCCGTCGACATGATGTTGGCATCCCGCTGACATGTCGTTGAGATCACTGTAGAAGGGGCATCAAGCATTAGACAGCCGGGGACACTCTGGTAGAATGTCTTCAATGACGGCAGAGGCCGAACCATGACCTTCGTTTCAGTGCAGCGAGACGAACTTCATGTCGATCTACAGCATGCTGAAAGACATGCTGTAGACATGATATTCTCGTAGGAATGGTCAGTGTGCACTGGACGTGTATATAAGATGTTGCTAGAGTATTGTTCCCACCTGCTTCTCATTCTCCAAGGCATATTCGACGGTGCTTCTCAATCCTGTTCACGTCAAATATGGCATGCTATCATCAACCAATCCAAATCTCATATCCGTACCTGCGACATTCAGCAGAACTCACCAGCATGGACATGGGCGACTTTGCCTTGACAACGAACGAATCCGACAAGGTTGCAGGTTATGCCTTTGCAACCAATGCGCCTGGTAACCTCGTCGACTATGCTCCGGACGAGTGGTTTCTGGGCCGTGCCATCACACCTCAAGACACGTCAACGAACAAGCCACAGCCCCCATGTCCAATCTGCGACCGCATCCCGCGCAATGCATCAGATGCTGATAGGCACATGCGCATCCACACACGGCCATTCGTCTGCCAGGAGACCGGATGCAAAATTACACGAGGCTTCGCAAGCAAGAACGACCTGGAACGGCACAAAAAGAGTGTGCACCTCATGATGCCAGAAGCTGGTCCAAAAGCCTGGTACATGTGTCCGGTCGGAGGATTCGACAAGTGTGTGCAACTATGGCCGAGGAAGGACAATCTTCGGGTGCACATGCGCAGGCAGCACGGGGCAGATGGCAATCAGGATGTCATAGTCGTGGATCTGTGCAACGGGCTTGGCTGATCGGGAGGCAATTCGAGAATGTGTCTTTGATTCTGGACCGTGAGGGATGGATATGTGGACGCCAGAAAGGCTGTGCAGAAGAGTGCAATGCTCACGAAGGAAGGCTTCTCAGAACACTGTGCCAGCTATACTGTAGTCGAGATAGAACTGTCTGATGTCAATGCGACTCGGCTAGGGCAACATGCCCGTCCGAGAACTTTCCATTATGTCGGCACGCAAGGAGTCACACTTCCCCAAGGCGTCCCTAGGTGGGAAGGCAGTATGAACTATGAAGGTCCGGTGGTAAACTTGATGTGGCAACGGTTGTGGTCCACGCCTCGCGGCACGGCTGACGCATCCAACTCACAGCTGGTTCCCTCTCACAAGACGTGATTGGGAGTGCTGCTCTTCTGGAGAAGACCTTGTGGCAGTCCTGGTAGGGCAAGTAGCCGGATGCGTCTGGTTGCGGTGGTTGTTCCCCATCTCGCGGAACGGTATGGGTGAGCTTCCCGGCGCCAAATGGCACGACGACGGAACAAGCCGAGGACTCGATTGTCATATGCCTTACTCTACCACTGAGCACAGGCAAAATCGATGGAGAGCTTGCGGTACAACATCAAGCGCCTGGAGGTGGCTGGAGCAGATGTGAAGGTGAAGTGGCCATGTCAAATTTGGGAGCCCTGTCTCATGAAATGCCAAGCCGCCAAACCTTCCGCCAGATCGGCCTCACATCTCCAGGAGCACAACAAGCCACTCAATTCCTCTTGCGCCTGTCCGCTTGCCGAGAACTCGCACACCGCCGGAGTTCATCAACATCATACCGAAGATGGCCGACGAGGAAATGCAGGACGCGCCGCCGTCACCACAGAATGACGGGCAAAGCAAGAATGGCTTCAGCGGGGAGACCAAGACACAGCACAACGCAGCGGCGGTGCGCAGTATCGAAGGATGGATCATCATTGTCACGAACGTGCACGAGGAGGCGTCAGAAGAAGACATCCAGGACATGTTTGGCGAGTACGGCGAAATCAAGAATCTGCACATGAATTTGGACCGCAGAACAGGATATGTCAAGGTGAGCAGCACGCGGCATGGCAGCTTGCAAAGCAGCGGGCAGCGCAGCGATCGCCTGCGCACACACTGACCGGAGACTCAGGGCTACGTCTTGATCGAGTATCCTACTGTGCAAGAAGCAAAAGCCGCAATCGAGGGCGCGAACGGCGAGCAGCTGCTCGAGCAGACCATCCACGTAGACTTCGCTTTCGTACGACCTCCCCCGACGAAGAGCAACTCAGCGCCGAAAGGTGGCAGGAAGGGCGGCAGAGATCGCAGCGCAAGTCCCGGTGCCAGACGCAGACGAGACGATGACGATGACGATTGAAGGAAAGTTGAGCGACACGGCATATTCCTCAGCGAGTTTACGGCAGCCCAGCTGCTTGACCATCGACATGAAGGTGGATGGGAGGCAGATGGAAAGAATCAGACTAGCCGATCGCGCAAGCAGTAATCTGCTATTGCGGTCAAGGACAAGCTAACATGCCGATCTACTTCGAGGTAATCGGCTGCTATGTACCGCCAAAATCAAGGTAAGTAAAATCATATATCGTTACTGCAATGGCACCAGCTGACGAATCAATAGTAAAATCCATGCGTCGCCGCTGCGCCATCACAAGTCTCACTTGCGGGCCCATTCCTGATAGTTTGCATGGCTTACTTGACAGCAATGCTGACTCGATCGCGCCATGCTGATACCAGCGCGCTTTGATTCTCGCGTCAGACATTGTGTCTCGCTAGCTGGGTATTTGCATACAGGCAAATAGTGCCGAGACGTGGCTCGCTACTTGCGGAAGACACTTGACGCACTCGTTCCTGGTCTCAGACATAAAGACACATTGTTCGGTCGAGTCATGTCTGAGCGGATTGTGGACGTACAAAAGGTCGGCCCATTCCTCCTAACCATTGCAGAGCAGAGAAGGCTATTCGTCAACTACAATGTCCGAACACGATCGGGTTCCTACGTGCGAGCCTTTGAACACATCCGACCACGCCACAGAGCCTCGACCAGGGCTGTCGACATCATCACAAACAGATATTACTACTTCTGAGAATGACACTCATACTCGAGCGCATTCCGGTACCTCGGCATCGCTTCCGCAATCTCCTCCGCACCGACGACAGCCCACTCAACTTCTGGTATCATTTCCACGATCCGAACATCACCGACCGAGACGCGAAATTGCCACCGACACTGGCGACTCAGACAGCGAAGCTGATGACGAAGGGCTGGAATATTTGCAGCGGGTAGAATTGAGCTATGAGGGCACGCTATGGGCATTCGAGAAGATGATTGGAAATGGCTGGATTAATGCGAAGCGATATGAAAGGGCTCGCGAAGAGGAGGAGAGTATTCGTCCCGTCGAGCCTCTCCAAGATTCTCTGCGCTTCGCTCCTGAATTTCGCCTGGGGGGTGAATTTACGAGAGCTACACTGCCGTCAACGCGTGCTTCTACGACTCCTCAGATTTCTCCAAGGTCGATTCAAGTTCCGGCGGAGAATCCGAGCCAGGCGGCGCTAATACTGCAGCCTGATTTGGGCCCGCTTACTGCTGCGGCATTGATGCAGCTGTCTTCGACTCCTCAGATCTCTTCGAGATCAACCGAGGCTCCGCCGGAGAACCCGCGACAAGCACTGTCCGTGTGGCCGCCGCCTCCATCATGGTTCTTTGAATGATCTTACAGGTGTTCATGGCAGCTGCGACAAGGCGCCGGCTCTCTCGCAGTGATCGCCATGCAGGACATCTCAGCGCGATGTGAGTTGGCTGAGCACCCATGAGCTATTCATCTAGAAGTCCAGTAAGTAGAATTCATAATTCAGTGCATCCAAAATCCATGATGAAAACTGTTCCCTTGCTCCTGATGCTGGAAGCTTAGGTATCGGCGTTGCAAGGAGTCAAATGCAGCTACAGACGGGGCAGGTGGTGCCCGAATCAGAGTCGGAAATCGCTACGAGACATCAGCGACCTGGCCCAAGCAATTGCCGGAGCTTCAAGTGTGGTAGCTCAGGATTATGAAAAGATCCTTGCGACCTGGTTCTGCCGATTTGTCGCAAGAAAAGCTGGGAGCAACAGTAGAAGAAATTGCGGACGAGATCTTGAGCTGGAGCGGTGGTGCACGCAAGTAATGACGAGAAGCTTGCGTGGAGTTGAATTAACTGGTATAACTCTCTCATCTACAGCGCGGCATGGCTCTGGAAACCTTCCGCCAATTAAGTTGTATGATTTAAACTGTGGCTCGGACTATCTGGATCGCACGGTGTCGCGGTTTGAATAGCACGGTTTTGGCGGTTCAATCCGCACGATTTTCGCTATTTTGCTTGCGCGGCTCTGCCTATTCAATCGGAACGGTGCTCGTCATTTCATTTGCACGGCTCTTGCTGTTCGATTCATTCACTTTCAGCTGTTCGACAGCGCCGGGAACATGGTCGTTCAACATTCGAGTTTCACGTGGCGACCAGTGACGACAATAGCATACCCATACCATACACGGCTCTGCATTCGATAGGAGAATCGTGCAAGGGATATGTGTACCTGCCATCAACAGCAGTAGCGAGGGTGAAGCTGCTTTAGCGTCATGCACATGAAGGTCTGGGCAACGTCTCGCTTCTCACAAACCAAAACAGCAATGCGTCTCAAGCTCCAGCCGCGACTTTTCAGCGACATCCACCCCCCCCCCCCCCCAAATCCCTACCATATCGCCACACATACGACCAGAGCATCTCAACGCACAAGAACGCTTATGAGATGAACAGAGGAACTTTTACTCGAAAAAGATTGATCCCTTCCAACAGCTTGGACTTGTAGCTTAGCCCTGGATAGAAGGAGAGCTTGTGCGAACGACTTGGCGGTTCTACCACGGTCACCAACTTTCGACATCGAAGACTTGCCCCCTTAACACCAGTGATCGCTAGTAGCCCTTCCAGGAGTTGCGGAACCCGGATACGACCTCGGTAAGATCAACCAGTGTAGCGCTAACTGAGGGATACTGTTTGCCGGACGAGCACACAAACCGCGTCCATACCTTCCTTGATAATATAGGCAGTTCGGAGCACTGTCGTTGTATAGCATGTCACAAATATACGGCTTGTTGGGCCTGTACCGCTAAACGGAGTGGTTTTACACGGCGCCGTCCATGCCAAGGTAGGTGGGTGCTTCTACAAGCGTCGATCACTCATTCTTATTATGTTTGGCTAAGCAACCGCACGTAATTTCCATGGACACAGAGTAGAGCAGCACCACACGCACGGGGACCACACCGCGCACACACGCACAATGGCGTCTCCACCCTCTCAACTACACCAAGCACGCCACTTCTGCCTTCTCGACCTGCATCCCGTCATTGTGAAAGAGATCATGCAGTACCTCTTCCCACCCAAGACCATCGAATTCGTGAGCGCACCAGACGGCCCACGCAGCCAAACCTCATACCTCACCGACACCCGCTCCCCCCGCGAAACCTACATCCGCACCAACAACTACTTCAAGAAATTTTCCGAGAAGAATACAAAAGAATGAACTTCACCACCTCCTTCCTCCTCGCAAGCCGCGAATGCTATCACCTGGGAACCCCCCACCTCTGCGCCCGCGAATTCACCTTCCCATCCCGCGTCGAAACCTCACTAGCATTCCTCCACGACCACGGCCGCGCCTCACCTCACCGCGCAATCCACCTCAACCTGAAATACGCTTTCCACACAAACGACGAGGCATGGCGACACCTTTTCAACGTGCTGATCCACGAGCGCCACGTGAAACGAGTGAAAGGTCACCGTGAGTGAGGAGTTCTGGGACTTCGCTCCCTCCCATCTCGGACCTCACGCGGTGTGGGAATGGAGTCGAAAGACCACTTCCTCGCGCGGACGTAAGCCACGCTCTTGGATCGACCACCTTGCGCGTTTGCCTATGAAGGCGAGGTTCGGGGAATGGCTGGGTGAGGTGTGGCGTGGAGTTGACTTCTCCCCTGAAATTTCTGGATTTCACGAACTCGCTCGATCGGGAGGCGTTTTCTGAGGGTTTGGAGTTGGCGGTGTCTAACCGTAGGAATTCGGATAGAAGGAGTCAGGTGCCGATGAGACAAAAACCCGGGTTTTGTGAGGAGACGGGGTTGGAGTACTCTTGTCATTGGGATATGAAGATTTGTCGGTGCAGGGGGGATTTTTTTGGTCGCTTTATGATCAGAATTGGATGAAGGAGAAGGAATGATTGGTGACTAGGTTTGCATGTGATTGATGGTGGAGAATGAATATCCAATTGAACTTCGCTCTAAAGTGTAGTCCTAGCCCCATCGACTGGCAACTCAAGCAGACTTTCGTCACTTGTCCGAGGCCCCATTTTCATAGGTAGCCAGGATCTTCGAATGACTGTTCCGACATGCATCTGAATTCGAGCCCAGAGCTGCATAGCATCAGGTCGTTCTGCCGGATTATCCCTCAAGCAAAGCTCAACAAGATCCCTCAGATCCTTGGGATAGTAAGCTTCGGTAGCTTCATCGTGGTAATCCGGAAGATCATATTCGGAGTCGAATTTATACGACTGGACATCTGCCGCCTTTTCGAGATTCATAAGAGCAAGGACAGTTCGCCCTACTGCCCATATGTCACTTTTGAGAGTGATGGGATTGTATTCGTTGTAGTCGGCATCTTCGGATCCGTATGCATATTGTTCCTGTCCACGATGATTACTCTGGACAACGGAAGAATAATGGGAATAAGACTGCTGTACCGGTGCTTGATAACCCTGCGTACCAGCTCCAGGCTCGCTCCAATCGTGAGTCGCAAGGCCGAAGTCTGCAAGCTGTGCTCGACGTCAGCGCGGCTTGGGAAAACTTTTCGGTTGGTATATCGCAACTCACTTTAGGCGTTGGGATTCTACTCCATAATATGGGGTCACGTTTGCCTAAGAAGACTACGAACTTTAGCTCCACGACGATCTTTGCTCTTCAAAGGACGATCGGTAGACTTACTGTTCCGTGGTTTGATGTCTTGATGCAGTATTGGTTCCCATTCCGGGCTAGGCGGATGCCAGGGCATTCTGCCAAAATGCAACAGGCAGAGCGCAGCCACGAGTGATTCGAAGACTGCCCAAATGACTCTCACTGGAAGATAACTAAGACTGAGGTTAGTGTCGAATTCGCACAGTTCTCATGTAACATGTCTTACTGGTCCGTAGAAGATCCGGTTTGTTGAATCTTTGTCTCGCGTTTGTCGTTATAGATTTCGATCAACTGTTCCAAATCGCCATACTTGCAATAATCAACGTAGATTCTGATGACCCTCAGCAATCCATACACTCTCCAACCCTGACAACGCAGTACATTCTCAGAATCTGGAATACGGTTGATCTTCTTCATCAAAGCTCCTTCTTTGGGTACACGATGAAGTGGCGGGCCAGACCACAGGCTTGGGTTCGTGAAATGTTCGTGGTAGCTTTCCTTACCGACGACCCTGTCAACCACATCGCCATTCTCGCCGACCCTTTCCCAAAGCCCAGCATGTCCGAAGCCGCCTTGACCAAGTGTTCTATCCCACTGCCATTCAGCGTCGCCTTTTACCCCACGAAGTCCAAGGCGCCGGGCCCGGGCTTCTCCAGTGAGGTCTTTAGTCGTTGGAGGCGGAGGATCGATGTGGTACACGTACGCTTTGCCCGTATTTTGCATGTGGGTCTGCATAGCGGTGTAGCGAGCATCGAAGTTCTCTAGTTCTTCTTCTTCTCAAGCCTGACTCTCATTCTCTCCCTTTGCCAGCCGGTTTCAATTCTGGCATTGTTCGCTGCATCGTGCTCGGCCAGGGTAAAATCTGCGAGCAGCTTGTTATGATACTCCAATAATGTCGTACCTTCAACAAAGGGTGGAGGCTTGAAGGCAAAGTCTGGATTGTAGCGCTGCAGCTCGCTGTAGTATTCGTGCAAGTCTCCAATCTGCATCTTGAGGGCCAAGTCTGCTGGATCATTGGTATCCGCATCTATTCGTTCGAACAAGAGCTCCCATGCTGTCTCGAACGCCTGCTGCATAACAAGTACATCGTTCCGAGACAGGTGTGGCAGCTGGAATGTGCCACTCTTTGTATTGCATCGATTCTGTTGCCACTCTCGGCAGGCATTAATCGTAGCGAGTCGTACATCGTATTCTATTGATACCCTGGAATGTCCACGCTGTCGGAAATGCGAGTTGATACACGTATTGGATCAGGAGCTGCAGGCAAGCCGATCATACAAGACTTGCTGAACATCGTGGCACGTGAGCAGCAAGAGGTGAACTGTCGCTTCCATGCGAGCTTGGCATCGGACCGTCCCGCAATTGCTGCCGTTTCATTCATCTTTGTTTCTGTCCGCTGCTCCTTCTTGCTCGCTCCACAGTACATGCATTATTTTATCAGGCCCGGCACTCCTTGAACGTCGGCTCGCATTCAGGCTATAGACGAAATCGATACAGATACAGACACAGATACCGTCATGAACGATGCAGACAAAGAACGCGAGTCGAACGCGGAAACAAACTTCTTCGATCTGCCGCTGGAAGTTCGAGACATGGTCTACAGTCATTTTTGCCCATATCGCTGGTTCGACATAGTCCTCATGCCACACGAGATCCTTGCGCCAGGAACAAGCAGAGTTTCACGGCAAATGCGGAAAGAATCCCTCGATGTATTCTACGGCAAGGGAATGTAAGTCGAAGCTCGAAGGAGAAGAGGACCAAGCAGATGCAAATTCTAACTCTCAACCAGATGGCTACATGACATGCGAGGTTGGAAAAACACCATTTATCCCAAGGCATGGACTCCTCAAACGATATTCGTGAAATGGATCAGAGCGATTGGCGACGAGAACGCAGCCAGAATCCAGCGTTTAAGATTCTACCACCACAACTTCAACCTCCTCATCGCGATAGGAGACGAGCAGCCGCGGATATCATTCAAATTGCGAAACAATCGACCTGGGACTGAAGTCCAATTGGCCCAGGATGCGCCAAAAGGATACTCCTTCAGCGAAGCCTTGAGGCGAGCAGAACGGCGCACTGGAATCATCATTGCGCAGATCAACGAGGAAATTGGAAGCGGGCCGCTCACAGTCCATGCGATAGAGGACCTCTATGCTCAGATCGAGATGCTCAAACCTAGCTTGTGCTCACGTGCAGGTGTCGGCTGGAAAGGCGCGGTTTTGAACGAGTCAGGGGAAGCCAGCGACTTCCGGCAGCATCAAGAGTCTTGTGGCGATTGCGCATATTGTCAACCCAGAGAAGGGTCAGCGAATGGCTAAGATTTGCGTCGCAATGCAGGCAAAAGATATAATCTGCGATGGGTTCATGACAGTCTGAGGCTGAGGACTCAGCTAATTGCTCAAACGGTGCTCCTATCGATACGGGGTAGATTCCGATAGTTAGAAGTGTTTCGCTTCCAGGAATCAATGGTTCCTGTTAATGCTGTATCACTTTATGTAGAATTGTCAACTCCGCAACGATGATCCCGAGAAGACAACCTTGATTCCTTCACTCGCTCTTTTTACATTCAAACCACAAGGGCCACCAGATCACAGACGCAGAAATGCGCCATCGTCGACCTTACGCAAGAGCCTAGGGAGAAACCATCACTTCCAACCTCTACTACAAAAAAGCAAGAGCCTTGGGCGCTCCATCACTCACATATTTTAACGAAGAAGCGCTTCACGCCCGCCTCCACACGTCTCCCGCGTAAAAAGTCCCAGCTCATCAACCTGAAGCAACACAAAATCACAGGATCCATCCAGCAATCTACCTCATCCACAATTCCGGAAAACCTCCTTACCCAGTCAGTCACCAGAACCTTCATCTTCACCGACGAATTCGCCGGAACTGCTGTCTGTATATATCTATCTCCTCAAAGACGGTCGCCAACCTACTCGCACCGTGTCTCTAAGAACCGAATCCAAGAGTCGAAACTGGCTCATGGCCAACCAGTGCAGGCAAGATTTGTAGCCTGGGACTCCAAACGGGACCATCTCTCTTCACTCGAGATAGCTTTCCTTTTGCGCAAATCTCCGGCTCTGTTCCTGGCCCACTTTGGTGGCGAAAATTTCGAGGCTGCGACTTCCGGGTACCATGTCTTGCATATCTTCGAGGAGATATTTCGCGGGGACATGATTTTCGGGAACAGGTGCTCTGCAACACCATTGCTGGGCGTACCGGGGCTATTCCGCAGCGCGTCTGATTGAGCGCTTGACTGGAAAGTTTGTTTGTATGCATTCGAGCTGGGATGACCAGATAGGAATGCGAAGAGGTGTGGCGTTGGACTTCCTATCCGACCACTGCAATGAGGAGTGAAAAAAGAAAAATCCCCCAAATCAGCGCTGGACTTCTTAGAATATCAGGGTTGAAGCAGGACCTAGATCAATAGCCTCAAGAGGACTCGTCTTCTCCAACAAATCTTCAAAAGCGGCGCGGAGATTCTCATTCCCATTCAAATCCCTCATCCCCTCGTAACCAGCCCAGCCCTCCGCCTCTTTCCATTCACCGGCCTATCGACATTCGGATGCGCCGTATTGATATGACGATTAAGGTTATCGATCCTAGGATAACGATGATGACTATCCGGACAGAATTTGCATTCAAAACCCGCAAAACCTTGGGTGTGATGGATAGATTTCAAGTGCCGGGTCAGCTCGCTTTTCCTCTTGAAAGTCCGCGCGCACTTGGACTCCTCGCAGCGGTGAGGTTTGTCGTTCGTGTGGACGTCGCGATGGGATCTATGGAAGGTTTTTAGCATACGAAGGTTTCGGTGAGGATTGGGAGAGCGTACGTACTTGAGTAGGTATGAGGTTTTGAATCTGGTTTCACAGGTCTCGCACTTGTGTGGTCCAACACCTTTTTTCTTTCCGGGACCCTCTTGCCCGACATCTGGGCCCTCTATGATATCTTCCATTTTCGATCCAACCTGCTCGGCGTCGTCATGCTGGATTGGTTGCTCTGGAGAACAATAGGCAGAATCGTTCGCGGATGACAATGGCGTCAGCTCGACTTCGTCTTCGGTTTCCGATTTGTGGCTGGCTGTCCTGCTGTCAACAGAGGATGGCGTCTGCACGTCTGCTGGCTGGTCCAGATCCTGCTCTGGTATTGCTGATCCTGTCATGATGACATGGTGTTCGACGGAATGCGAACTGATCACCGAAGTCGCTTCCGGCTGGTTATCATGTTGCCCGTGTGAAAATGAGGGGCTTTGAGCCGCATTTGTATTAGGCACCGATACGACAGGCTCACGGTCTGACGATGGCAAGGCTTGTGGCGTTGAGGATCTTGTGTCCTCTTCCGACTCGCTCTCGGGGGTTGGCGACCTCGAACAGTACGCAAGGCTCCGGTGTACCGGTAGACCCAGCACAGCCAGTCCTGGATCATATCTAGGCGGCCGTCGCTTCGGGGGCGTTGTGCTCTCAGGCTCTGGGGTACGTTCTCTCATCTCATCAATCGAGACAGCTTGCAGCGGTGAGACTTCAGTCCAGAGACTGGCATCTTCATCAACGTACTCCATCGTCAACGCCGGTCAAGCTCATCTGTAGTGGGGTAGTGGCAGGCCTCGGGTTACTGCATGACCGCCAGCCTCAATCCAATCAAGCTGCCATGGAAGAAGAGCTTGTACACTGGAAGGCTGTGTTCGGCTGTTGGAACCAGAGTGGCGGAGTGGTGCTCATGCGAGCCTTGCGCAATATTCGTGATACTTGGCATTGCAAAAGAAGGTATCATGCTTGTGGCAGGATACGAGATTTCTATGCTGGTGCCTGCTGGGATGGTAACTTGAAGTGTGTGGTGTGTGTGGTATTACGTACATGATGCCTGAGGCTGAAACTGCGCACTTTATCTTTGGGCTTCCTATAGATTAGCCCTCTTCTGAATATAACACAGTTTACATTAAGTGGTTATGAGCCCCCTGCGTTTCTAACGTATTTCAATACGTATTCTAATAGTTAATCCGACTGCTATATAGCTAGCGCCCGTTACTAATAATTACGCTAATACCGATATTATCGCTACTACCCTTACCGCCGCCCTCGAGTGTTCTAGCAGGTGCTAGTCCGACTCGAGTCGGTTATATAACAACAGTGTTAGCTGTCCGCTATACTAAAATATAGGCGCCTATTAGCGGCCTCTTAAAATAAGTCTATAGTCTCTTTCTATATCGTCGCTATCGCTATTAATAATAGCTCCCCCTATAACCGCTAACGCTTATATAAGCAATATTCCTAAGCTAAAGAATAAGGAGAATTATCTAGTATAGGCCTACGCCGCTAAGGGTGCCCTTAAAGGTATATAAGTATAGCGCTATATCTAAGGGACCCGCCTAAAGCCTAAAGTTAAGCTATTATCTACTAAAACATAGGAGCAATTTAAAGACCGCTAAGATAAATAGGAGGCGAAGGACTAGTTAGCGCGTACGTAGATATTCGCTAACTATATATCGGAGATCTAGTAGTCGTTACTTAGACTCGATACCTTCTAGGTAGTATAGAGTTATCTATATAAGAAGTATACTAGTAAAGGTAGGTCTACTAAATTTGTGCTCTTCTAGGACTATATTACCCTTCGCTACGATAGCAAGGACGTTAAGAAGTTCTATAACGAATATAAGAAGAAGCTTAGTGCCTTAAAGGACACTAAATTAGCTATTAGTTAATACTAGGCTATCTATATATTAAAGGACGGAAACCAAAACTGCTACTACTACTAGTAGTAATAGTATAGGCCACCGAGGGTAACATGACCTATAGCAATATAGGCAGCTATATTTAGTATAATAGGATAACAAGACGGTTACTTAGGCTAATAACTAGAGCCCTACAATATAGGCATTGTAGAAGTGTAATGTAAACAATATGCTATACGAGGTTAGTGCTCTATCTACGATGCAGAAGGAGGCCTCTTATATAGGCTTAAAACTTAGCCTAGGTGTGTAGGGCCGGTTACTAGCTAATATCCCTCCCTTTCTTCGTATCTAACTAGACACGCTTTACATTGCGCGCTTAAAACAAACAAACAGTTATATAGGGCACCTTAGGTATCTAGGCTATTTTTCAGAACTCCGCAATAATACCCCCGGGGTAGCATTGTTCCTAGATTCTATTAATATGCAAAAACAACTTCCTAAGCATCTAATCCACTACGCTAACTTACTACTGCTTTAATGCACCGTAATCCTTACTAGTAATAACCTTATTAGCTAGTCGACTCTCCTAAGCTCCTCCGTAGGTATTAAAGCTATTAGTACTAAAGTACTCTGCCTCGAAGTAAGCTTAATTAACGAGGAGGTTAGCAGCCTTGTCCTATATAGCCTTCTCCTACTCGCGTAGATAGTCCTTAAGCTCCTCCTTACTAAACTAGAGGATTTGTTTAACTTCGTTCTAAACAACGTAACTTAACTAAGGAATTCTACCGACTAGGGCATCGGAAATGTAACTAAGGCCTTCGACTAAGATAGCGGTAGGAAAGGCGAACGGTACGAAGGTGTTAGAACCTAGGAGGGCGGTTAGATTGCAGTACGCCTTAGCAACCTTAGCGACGGTTAAGTTGTCGTAACCCTTAATCTTAGTACCGTCGATAACACGAGAGTAGCCTAGGTCGATTAATATACGGTCGCTCTCGGGCTTTAGATTACTATATAGAAGGTATAGTATCTAAATAGAGACCTCGCATTCTTTTAGAGGGGTAAGGATCTACTAAGCTACCTCGCCTTCGTTAGGCTAACTATCGAATATATAACCGAGGTCGTCGTTAGTAAGGTGCTTGTTAGTAAGCTTACTAATCTTGTTTAGTAGAACTAGGCTACGGGCATTAAGCTTCTTAACCTAGTTCTCGAAGACCTCTAGTTCGTATATACCCTCGATAATAGTTAAATAGGCGGTCTTATCTTTAGATATAAGAGAAACCTTAATACGTAGATAGCTAGTACCCTTACTAGCTACGAGCTTAACTATATCTTATCCGAGACGAGAAGTCTCCTTAGTAGGGTAGTTCTTATAACCGCCCTTACCTACCTTAAAGTACTTAGTAGGCTTAGGGACGGAGATAAGCTCGTATACGTAATTAGGTCGAAGGGTAACGGCTAAGAGCTACAAGGCGGGATACTAACGGACGATTTGGTTGCTTACTCTATAGGTTTAAAGGGCATTGCGGCCTTCCTACTTAGACTTAGGCAGTTTACGCATATACTAAAAGAATATGCGAAACTCCTCCTATATTAGGTCGACGATAAGAGGAAGGTGCGCTCTACGAGGCGACTATATCTAACCGAAGACCCGAGGGAAGATAGTATTGCTAGTCTAACGAAAGCGGTCGAAGGAGGTACCTTAGCTAAGAATACTAGTAATTAGCTTATACTAACGCTTAGTTAGCGTAAGATCGCGAGTAATAGTACTAGTAGGGTTAAATACGTAGTGTCCTAGGGAGGTCGGGGCGGCAGTAGGACGTCTAGGAAACTAGTTAGCATAACTAGTCTTAAAGGTAGTAAAGGCATCCTAATTAGCAACCTCGCGACTAATCTTTAATAGGCGACCGACGAGGACACTCGCCTTAGCACTAGCATAGAGACTATAGACCTTAGCGGCCTTCTTAATATAGTTAGCATATATAGTAAACCGCTCTTTACCTAGCTTACTAAGGTCGTCGAGCTATTAATAGATAGATAGGGCGGTAGGAGCTTTACCTAAGTCGGCTTTAGGAACTATATCGATGTTAGTAATAAAGTGCGTAATAGAGTCGCCCTTGCAAGAACTATAGATATTCTTAGTTAATAGGATCGGCGAGAGGCCTCTATCTCTACGCTCGCTAAAGGAGCCTTCGGAGGAGACATCTTCTAGTAGTATATCTAGTATATTAATATCCGAGTTACTATAGTTAGTACTATAGTTAGTACTAGAAGGAGTGCTATACTTCTTAGTAGCCTTGCGGAGGGCCTAGCGAGCATGCAATGCCTTCTTACGCGCTGCTTCGGCCTTAGCGCGCTCGTCTTAAACTTCTTAAGGGACCTTACGGTTGCGGGTCGAGCGACGATCTTTAGCCTACATTTCTATAGCGAGCGTAAGACTAGCAGCTATATCGGCCTCGGTTTCTAGGCAAAGAGCCTTACGTTTAAGGATATTAACGATAGGAGCCTCTTAACCTTTAATAATAAAACCTATACTATTAATACGATAGCCCTTCTCCTTTAGTAGATCCTTAGTTGTCTATACGTTAAGATCGACCTAGACAATCGTATCGTAGTGCTTCTTCTAGTAGGCTGTCGTAAAGTCGTTAAGCGTAAAGGACAAGTTAAGTAACTACTTGCCTACCTTCTTGCTAGCGGTAGATACGCGATAGATTATAGTATAAGAGAGGTACTCGGCGCCTTAACGACGGACCTTATACTTGTTAACGAACGAAGAGACCTACTTAGCACGCTCTTGTCTACCGTAGGCGAAGTTAATAAGGCTCTTAGGAAGACTACTTAGTCCTCCCTAATGTTCGAAGGCCTAGTCGAGGGTCTTAAAGCGCAAACGAATCTAGGTGCCGGCCGTCTCGAGGCTATAGACGATAGGAAAGGCTTGTTCGATATCTATATCGTTAAGAACCTCGCGCTTAAAGATACGCTTACCGATAGACTAACGCAAGTTGTTTATACCGTACGCAACTAAGATAGCAGCCTTCTTAATGTTCTTATTAATAACGCGTAGTAGGGTGCGAGCGTTCTAGATCTTCTCTTAAGGGTCTTTAAGGGCGGTAACGATCTAGAAGCAGTACTCGAGGCTAGTTATAGCAGCTAAGGCGCTATCGGATAGGGCTTCGATCGGAACTAGGGCGGCTAGGCTTAGGTTAATAGGGGCAGGTAGGTCGTTACTACTACTAGCGCCTAGCGGATTCGGGGCGCCGGAAGTTATAGTCGACCGAGGCGGTTTAGAAACGAGTTTGCAAAGTGTGTTCGTTGCTTAATAATAATAATTGAAGGGTTTAGATAGAAGGGGGGTTTTAGGCGGTAGCGAGTTAGTTAGTAACCGAGTAGAAGAAGGAGCTTAGGAAGCTCGCTTTAAATATAGTACGAAGGTAACGTAGTCCGTATATTCCGCGCTAGTAAAGCAAACGGATAACGGCTATATATAAAAGTAAAGCTGCATACGAGACTTCTTTATTATTAGGGCAGGCTAAAGTTTAACAATCGATCTAGCTAATTGCTAGTAGCGACTACGCGCCTTTGTTAACCTTTAGCTATCGTAGATTCTCGCGCACTCGAAATGTAACTAGTTAGTTCGAGTCCTTAGCAGAAATCTATAGTAGTAAAGCTAGCGGGACTAATAACACCCCCGGGGTAGCATTAGCTTTTCTCTAGAGATGCTCGGTAACGAGGAGCAAGTCGCCTAGGCCTAGCGTAGCTAATCCGTCGATATATTAGCCTATAGCACTGCCGTTATAGGTATAGCATTACCTTTCATATTAGTAAGTACGTAAAGGTAGTCTATGCGTTTACCTTCTTTCTTCTTCTAAACACTAAGCTTAACAGCCTAAGGTCCCTATTCTTAGAGGCTATAGGCCTAGGTTGCTATATCTATCTAAGAGCCGGGAAGGGAGAGGGATCCTCCCTTTCTTAGTATCCTACGTAACTAGCGCTAATTAGGGCAGGAACATCCTCTAGTAGAGTATCTTATTATCGTTGTTACTTAAGGAAGGTTACTAGAGTCTAGGAATCTAGAGGGAAGTAGTCCTAGAAGGGTAGAGGGGTTAGGTTCGGCTATTTTCCTAATACTACCCCTAGGGTGTTATTAGGAAAATACGCCTCGTATAGTTCTATCTAAGGAAACAAGAGCGAAGGAATAAAGTTATAGTAACATTAATCGAAGGTAAAGGCAAAAGCAAAAGACAATAATAGGATAAACTAAAAGTAACAAACGAGAGCATAAATATTAGTAGGAACAGATAATAGGTAAGGACTAAAGGTATAGGGCGGTACTGCATTAACAGCGCGGAGAACGATTAATAAGAGTAAGGAAGTAACGTAGTAGAGGCAGATAGAGGCAAGGAAGAGCAAGCAATTATTTAGTCTCGGAATCTAGCTATAATTCTAGGCGGTCTTCGTCGCTAGACTAGTCGAGCTCCTCCTTAGAGTTAGAGTTAGATAGCTAGAAGTCTAGTTCACTATCGGAATTAATATCGGAAATGCTCTACGCGTAATTAATACGTATATAACCCTCCCTTTGTTTATAAGTTATTCCTAATAGCTTACTAAGACGTATCTAGGGATGCGCATAGTTGTTAGGTAGAATAGGATCTATAATCGCGGTAGGATCCTCCTCTCGATAGGTATCTAAGGTCGGTAGAGGGTCTATAAAGGTATTAACTTCCTCCTCGGTCGGGGGGGGGGGCAGGTAGGCTCTCTTAATTTAACGATCTTTTTTAGGTTAGCCTAGGGGTGCGAGTACTTCAAGGTAGCACTATTAAGTTCCTAAAGACGGTACGTAAAACTATCGTAAAGGACCTCCTACACTCTATAAGGCCCCTTCTATTTAAAGGCTAGCTTATAGGAGTAACTATATTCTAGCTCCGACCGGTATAGAAGAACTATATCGCTAACCTTTAGAGGCTCCTAGTTAATAGCATTATAGTCGTCGAAATACTGCTTAGCCTCCTTACGAAGGCGACGTTGTCGAGCAAGTCCCTCCTAAGAAGTAGTAGTTATATCCTTAAGAGCCTTAGCGCGTAAGGCAAGGAGATCTGCCCTAGTACGAACAGACCCCTA